CTGGCCTTGAACACCTCTAGGGAGGGAGCACACACCTCACTGGGCAACCTGTTCCATCCAACCCAGCCATCCTTTAGTCAGCACAGAACCATCGAATGGTTGGTTGGAAGGTTAAAGATTATCTAGTTGAAGCATCTTCATGTCCTCTTATGCCTCCAACTGCTGGTCCAGCCCAGGGCAGGGATGCAAGAGAGCTGGCTCCAGCTTTCTCATGTTTAGTGATGTGTCCTTCAACCTCCTAACGAAATTGTTTTGCTTGAAGGCCACGTTGTCCCCCTGCTTGAGGACTTCTTCCTTGTGATGGTGGTTATGATGGAGCAGGATTGATATGGGAGATGCCTTCTCTCTCTGGCTGCAAGAACAAAGAAATAATTTGAGGGGGAAATTTCCCTACAATAGGCAAGGGGAGCTGGGAGGGGACCACTGCCCTGCTTGGGTCTGTGCTGCAGATTAAAATCACTGCTGCACAGTGAATAGGATACAGCTGTTATGAAATTGACTTGGTTTGGGAAGGGTGTCCCTTCCGCTAGCGGCTGTTTGTTTGGTTAAGATAGGTGGGTGCAGATTCTAACAATAAGCTTTCCTGGGAACACAGATGGGCTCACATAGAGGTCAAAGAGAGGGATTGAGCCAGCACCAGTCTTGGGATGGGATGCTGTGGGTGATGTGGGAGAACAGGGTGGGCACAGAAGGAAGCATGGTGTCCTCTATCCTATCACCCCTGTGTGCTTCTTCTCCCACATTAAGTGGACTTCAAGCACTGTAGAAAGGAGGAGAGAAAGAATGAGCAGAAGGATGGGAAGACCCATGAAAAGTCATCTTTCGTTCCCTGGAAATTACCTATAGATGAACCATGTAGGCTGGGGAAGGGTAGCGTGATCCCTCCAAGCCCCTGGTGATGGGTCTGTGTGTCAGATTTTGGTGTCCTTGCAGGGAACCTTGAGGAGCACTGTGGTCCCACTTCCCTTCAACTTCAGCGTGAAGGAGCAAACTATTGATTGATTTATTAAGCAGAGTGGAAATGTGCTCCAGATGTGAGAAGATGGTACAGATCTGGCAAAAGATGAAAGCAACATCCCTAGAATGAAAAGGGGCAAATTGGCCATGGGGGCAGGGAGAGAGGGGGAGTGAGGCATGACTGATTGCTGGGAGTCATCAGAGTCATGTGAGATATGAGGGGCTATTGTTTGCATGGTGTTAACTTGATATGACAGCATAACTACATCTACCCAATCTACCCAGTGCCTTGCAATAGTATTAAATTGAAGCCAAGCCTGGAACAATGCACCCGAGCTGTGGTAAGAAGGTAAGAAAAGCCACCTGCCTTGCAGGTACCCACACTGCTGCCCAGAGAAGCGTGGGTGCACAAGGCCATGGATGGCCTGATCTGGTGGGGGGCAAACAGCCCATGGCAAGGGGTTGGAACTGAATGGTCCCTTCCAACCTAAGCCATTCTATGGAGTCTGGCAAACCCAGTGGGGCTGCTTGGCTAAATTGGATGAGGAAAAGTGGGATTCCTTGGTGGCAGCACTGTGGCATGCAGCATCAGCCTGGTGGGAACATCCCTTGGCTGTGCTTATGGGGATGGATGGGATGTCCCAAAGCAGCACTGAAGGGCAGGGCTCATTTCCAGTAGGAGGAAGGAGCACCAGAAACGTTGCACACCTAGGTGGCTGATGTCTAGAAACATGGTTAGAACTATGGGTTTTCCCTCTTCAACCAGACTTAAACTTTGGATTTCCTCCCTTGAGGATCTAGATGGCACTATTCAGCAGCCTGGGATGTGGTAGCAGAGGCAGACCCCATCAGCACCATCCAGGGTATGTTCAACTCCATCGTGAGCTCGCCAGTCCCTTTGGGATCACATCTCAAAGAGCTCCTGATGCAGCTGGCTCACAGACAGCACTAAGTTCACCCCTCTGCTGCTTTCTTGGCAGCTGGTGAGGAGAGAAAAGTAATGATCATTTCCAATCAAAGTTTGTACGTCTGCATTAGGCAGTCTGGAGGATTCCTCTGGCAAAGCTTGCTGTAGGGAATACTGACACCAGCATGGGGCCAGGAAGGCATTTTCCCCTTGTCCTGGGCTGACCTTTGCACTGTGAGGGAACATTTATGATTATGTGCAGCAAGTTTTGCTCAAAGCTGATAACTCTCATCCCTTTTTTTGAACTCAGTAGCACTTCTTGAGCTCCCAGTTGACATTTCAAATGAAAGTGATGCATGCTGCATGCAGCTTGCAAAGATCTGCCCAGTCTGGGTCATGAACCTGATTGGTCCTCTGCATGGACTTTCCCAGGAGCTTCCCATTGCCATCCCAGCCAGCAATCCACTCTGCCGTCCTATGGGGAGGAGAAAATCAGTTTTCTTTGTGATTTTATTATACATTATTGCTGTTTACTTTCCTGCTCTAGTCGTGCAGTTCTCCATGCAGTGCTCTCCCTACCCACGTTATCCATCTAATCCTTGCTCCCAAAGTCCCCTGCTGTGATTTCATAGAATAGCTTTGGTTGTAAGGGACCTTAAAGATCACCTCGTTCCAACCTCCCTGCCATGGGCAGCCTTGCCAACCACTGGATTTCTGGAAGTCACCGTGTGGAGGTGAAATGGAAGCTCTGTAAATCTGAAAGATGCTCTTAGCTTTACCTGGGGAAGGCACTCTAGTGGCCTTGAGGCTGTCAGGCAGCCCTTAAAGCATTATGCAATATGTGGGAAAGATTTTAGCTTGCAGAAAGCCAGTCTCAACTCGTCAGATGCAGATTAATTTTTTAACTGAACTGACTTCTGTTGTTTTTTTTTCCTTTTGTCTCTGTAAGTTGGAGCCTTTCAATTAATTACGTATCGTATGCAGCCAAATTTCCTCTTTCATTTCTAAGGGAGGAAAAGGGAGATGGTGAGCCTTGCTTGGAAATAAAAGCCAAGGGGCTGTGAGAAGTGATGGTCAAGGATCAGCGCAGCAGGCAGAGAGAAATGCAGCCAGGTTGTATAGTGGAGAGCTGAACCCGATGTCAACATAGATGGTGCAGCTGTAGTGTGTTGTGTCATGGGGCAGCTTCAACCTTCCCTTTGAGCAGGATATTGCCAAATGGGGCTGCAGTGAGGTTGCTGAGGGTATGTTTGCATATATTGGCACAGGCTGCCTGGGGAGTGATGGAGTCACCATCACTGGAGGCGTTAAGGGACCTTGGAGATGTGGCACTGGGGGGCATGGTGGATGGATTGGGAATCTCAGAGGTCTTTTCCAACCTTAATGAAACCTTCTGTGAGGAGCTCTGTTCTTCTTCATGTCTGATATGGGCCACCAGAGGGTTCACGTGGGAGGAAACCATGGGAAGATGCTTTGCAGCTCTTTGAACATGGGTCACCTGTTGCCTTTTCTGCATGGTCAGGTCAGAGAGCCTGCTCAGAGTATGGTCTCTGCTCAGTGTGGAGAAATCCCATTTTTGCTGTCTCTTATTTCAGGCTACTGGCTGTGCTTGAGCTGTTTGCTGCTTGCTTGTCACAGCAAAAAATGATATTGGTTGGATGGAAGGACCTGGATCTCCTCTCCAGCTGATTTCCACCAACTAAAGGAAGGAACGTGACAGAGTGCAGCCCAACAGAGCAGGACAAGGTGCCATCTTACTGTGTCCTTCCAGGGAAAGCCAAATCCATCATCCACCCCCAAGATGTGTCTACTTTCATGGACAGCTGTATCAGCAGAGATGCCCTTCAACACCTAGCAAACCTTCAGGACCTCCTGAGGATGCATCAGGTTTTCCAAGCAAAAAAAAAAAACAACCCTTCTACTGCCAGGAATGACCCATCTGAGTCCTTTCTAACTTGGGATAGTCTATGGTTCTGCTGGATCTCGCTCTCAAGCTGACTCTGAGGATATAAGGAGGGTGAAGCCACTGTGATAAATCTGTGTGCAAGCACCTGCAAGACCTCAAGGTGTGCCTGGAGCCACGTGGAACTGCAGGTTCTTGAAATGAAGCCCTTCCTGAATTGAGCAGAGCGTAGCCAGGCCATCAGCAGAGATTACTCTCTGTTTTCCTCCCAAGGGGAGGTAAAAAGAAGGTAGGAGAAAGAAAACAAAGTGCAAAAGCACAGCTGTTCACTTGCTTTGGTTTTGCTTCTTTGATGGCAGCTAAGTTGGGGATCTGAGCTGCACTTTATTCCCATTCTAAGATACATGAAATGTTCAATTCAGATTCTCCTTGGAGAAAGCTTAGGGGAAAGCAAAATACTGCTTAAGCATGTCTCTAAAATAAAGAGACAAATTAAATCTGAATGTATATATTTTACAAGAGCTGGGTTTGTGACACTAACGTGACCAAAAATGGACACCCAAGCCTGGCTGTCCCACCTTCTGGCATTGCAGCAAACTGAGTTCAGCAAGGAAAGAGAAATTGAACAGAGGCAATGCAAAATATCCTTTCTGCTGTGTTTATCTGATATAGGTAAACAAAAGGTCTGTGTGCAGAGGCTGAATGCTCCCTTGTGTTTCCCTAGTGTCCTGGTAAGGGAGAACTTAAGGTTGGGATGGAGGTCTGTTTGGGTGATACAACCTCATGGATGTTGTTTGCTCCTGGTAGCTCCCTTGTTGCTGCTTGAGGTCTGCCATGAGATCCATGGCTGCCCAGCTGCCAGCAGAGCCAGGAGCTGTTACTGAGTGGCAAACAACAAGAAACCAACATGTCTCCTTTGTGCACTCACTGAGTCATAGAATGGTTTGGTTTGGAAGGGACATTTAAGATCGTTTAGTTCCAACCACTGTGCTATAGGCAGGGACACCTCTTTCTAGACCAGGTTTCTTACAGCCCCATGCAGCCTGGGATGCAGTTCAGATGGAATTTCTTGTGTCCCAGTTGGTGCCCGTTGCTTCTTGTCCTCTAGCTGGGCACCACCAAAAGGAGCCTGAACCCATCCTTCATGGGAAGGCTGCTGTCAATGCACCACCAAATGCAGGAGGGAGAACACTGCTTTCTCTGGGAACAAAAATGATAAGAGCAAAACCTGAGTAACCTTGGTTACCATGCTTTTATTTATGGTGAGCAGAATTGCTGATAGCCGAGGTCTCTTTCTTATATATATATATTTATATATATATGTACTGAGTACGCAGTGTACCCAAGGCTAAAGCAGCAAACACAACAATGAAGACTTTGGTACAGCAAGTGAAAGTGTTGGAAATATGATGTCATGGTTTTAGCATCACTCCGGTGCTCTCAGTGAGTCTGCTAAGGGTTTCAGCTCTTTGGTACAATGAGAAGCTGTTCCTTCTCTCTTTTGTTCTTGTCCTGCTCATGTCCCGTGGCTGCTTGTTTTCACAGCCCTGGAGGTGGAACATCTTTGGCTGCTGTCATGAAAATGCTAACAGGGTGCCCATGGTTGGATAGCTTTGTAAAATGGGTTAGTAGCTTAAATCCTTAATAACGTGGGATTTGGAAGATGTGTTTTGCCTGGTGCTTAGTCTGCCCAGGAGCTAATCTCTGCCATTATAGAAATGCCCTTTGCAGCTTTCCCACCAGCCTCCATCTCTGCGAGTCCTCTCTCCTGATACCTGTAAAAAGCTCTGCTCATCACCTCCTCCTCCCTTTTCCTGGGGCGAGGGGTCTTCACAGTCACCCGTGCCATTTCCTGAAGGATTTCCCAGATTAATCTTTTCCAGTTATCAATGGTGCCAACCTGGAGGGGACTGCACCTCTAGCCAGGTCTATCTCCAGTCCCTCTCACCTGCCAGCCTGCAGAGAGCAGGACACAGCCCAGCTTTCTCTCAAGCACATTTTGAACCCTTCCTCCCTCTCTCTCAGCCTTCCAGCTGTATTCCTGGGGACTTGCTGAACAGAATTGCCCTGGCTTATGCGTCTCAAGTGACTGCATTAAAGAGTTTGGCTGAGCTTTGAGGAATGCCCTTCTTACATACATTCTTCTCGCCTATACCCATTCTTTTCTTTCATCTTTGCCACAAAATCCCAGTTGTCAGACTAGGAGGAAATGTTTGAAATTACCCTTGAAAGTAGGTGATGTTTCATCTTTCTGTATTTTGAAGAAGCTTGGGCAATGCAAGGACTGCTTTTACAGCCACATTCTTTGACCTGATTGAATGAAATGCAGCAGTTTTTGAGCCATTACCATACTTGTGGGATTCCTTTGATCACATGCAGCCATTTCAGCAGGTCTGGCCCTTTAAAAATCAGCCTCTTTGAGGTAACAGCAATAGGATGAGAGGTGATGGCCTTGGTTGCGCCAGGGAAGGGTCAGGTTGGATATTAAGAAATATTTCTTCTCTGAAAGAGTGGTCAGGCACTGACACGGCTGCCCATGAGATGGGGGGGTCACTGTCCCTGGAGGTGTCCAAGAACCATGGAGATGTGGCACTGAGGGACATGGTCAGTGGGCATGGTGGGGATGGGTTGGGCTTGATGGTTTTTAGAGGTCCTTTCCAACCCATATGATTGTATGATTCTAAAGCCATCAATTCCTACCCCCGTGTGGATATCCTACTGCAGATTGGTCCTACTCTTGCTACTGAAGCTGCAAGAGCAGCACAAGAAGCTGAAGAATACACAGCATGTATGGACACCTCAACTGTTACAGCCCCATAGGATAAACTAAACGAGTCATAACGTAGTTCACCCTGATGACCAGTTTAACACAGATGTAGCACAAGGAATTGTGTAAAGGCAAAGAGTTTGGACACCGTGCTTGGTTGACACCTCATGATTCTATACAAGTTAGCATTTTTAGTATGGGGATTTCAGGTTCAGCCCATCCTGGTATTACTTCCTTTTGACTTCAGCTATGAAGGAGCCTCTTGCTGGTAGAGCTGAGCACAGCCCTCGTGTTTCTCTTCATGCTGTCCACAGCTCCACGTACACCTGGAGGCCTTCCAATGGCTTCCTGAACCAAGTCAGCTCAGAGCTAGGCATGTTTTGTAGCTGCAGGTATGTGTTGTAATCCATCCTTACCTCATTTAATCCTGATGGGCAGAGGGAGTGAGAGGAGGAGAGACACACAGGAGCGTTCTTTCTCTTCCCATTGTTTTTCCATGAGTGATGCTTGCTCCAGGGCTGTTATTGTTGGAGAGGTGCTGCCGGTGCTTATTGCGAAGGCACTCAGAGCTGGGGGTGTGGGCTTTGAGGTACGTACACCTAAATCAGAATGGCATTTCAGATGGGTTGCGTGCTGTACCCCAGCGTGCATAGAGGGAAATGTGAGAGGGTTGACTTCAGATCCTTGAAGTAAAAAAAAAAATAAAAAAATCCCCTGTGGGAACATCGTTAAAATTCTGAGCACCTCTGGTAATTATATGTTGACATGAATTGTTTGGACCCCAAATCAAAGTAACTCTAACCTGGACCTCGTTATGATGGATAAAGAGGAATTAATTAAAGCTGAGTTTTCCCTGGAGATGGGAAGATGGCAGTAAGGACTGAGAGTAATTTCTCTTGTCGACCATTTTGGTTTGCCATGCCAGAATTCTTCCACAGAATAAAGAAAAAAAGAGAAAGCAGCAGTCTTAGAGAGTTTGCTGGTTCTGCAGATATAATTTCATGAGCAGTGCTATCTGTGGGCAGTGTGCAGGTTGGGGAGCCCTGAGGAGCTCCCAAGAGGGAGCTGCAACACTACAGGTGAGGAGAGAGGGTCCGTGCTGCTTACATTGCTCTTCAGCATTGCAGGCAAGCATTTCTCCTGTTTGCCATTGCAGGTGCTTCGCTTCATTCAGAGCAGTCCTTGGATTTTGCCACAAATCTTCCAACACATCAGCGTGGTTCCAGCAAGTTTGCTGTGAAATGCAGATCCTGGCACATCAGCTGTGCTGCCTGACTTCCAGGAATCAGAGAAGGTTCAAATCTATTTCAGCTTTTGCTACAGGTCAAGTTTAAATTGCTGGACTTGAAGAAAGCAGTCTCCTTTCCTCACCTATTGTGCATCCAAAATTAACCAGCAGTTCTTCCTTACTGCAGCCAGAAACCCCATTGCAAGCATGAAGAAGTATTTCTACTGCGTATTTTCCAGCCCATGGCCTCTAAATTTATCCAAACAGTAGCACCATCTCTAAGCATTGGATGATGTAATTGCTTTTCCTGCCTTTTACTTTAGCATGTTTTCTTCAGATGACGAATATGTGCTCCTCTGGATGTTGTGAGGGCCCTGCCCATCTCCTGTTTATGGTGCCTTGCAGCACATGCCAGAACCTAAGAGCAGTTGTCTGTGCTTTCCACTCTGCAGTTAGAAGCTTTGGCTGCAGAGCCACTTCCTTGCCTCTTCCCTCTCTTAATTTCGAGCCCTTGCTGCTCTTAAGTGTATATTTACATGTCAGCCTTAATAATGAAGACCTGGAAGATATTTTGAAGACGTGGTTGATAAAATACAGTATGTCTTTCCTTCCTTTCCCCTCTCCTCTGCCCAAGCACAGATTTTCTCTGCAAGGAGGTCCTCCTTTCTTTACTATATATTTACATTTTTTTGATGCTGTTGGCTCTGGCATGGGCTTTTTTCTTTTTTTTCTTTAATTGTTGTTGTTGTCATCCTCTCCAGAGAGAGAAACTGTGTGGTTTCCAAGTTCTTGAATAAATGTCAAACGAAGCATTCCAAACGATTATTCAAGCTGGTAATAAGCAGCGAGACATCCTTCCTGTAGAGAAGCTGAACAATGGTTTCCTCTGACAGAAGCAAAATATTAGGAGCCTTCCATATGTTGATCCTGATTTATGCGGCAGTAAGGTCTCCAAGAGGGATAGGAGGCCCCAGCAAGTATTTGGATATCCTGCGGGAAGAGGAGCTCTGCGTGTGACAACCAGACTCCCCCCAGCATGCCATAACGTTCTGGGAGTTCTATCCGTGTCTCCACGTCCTTCAGTTTTAAGAACTTCTGCTTCCTCCCTTGGCTTTCTGCACGCTTTGCAGAGCACCCAGCTTACCCCGAGCGCCCCGTGGAGGCAGGTGGGCTGCATCCCACCTCAAATTCCAGCAGGACCTCCATGGAGGAGCAGCAAGGGCTGAAGCTGGCTGCCAGTCGGACCCGCATCCCCGCTGCCCCGCTGAACACCTCCCCTTCCCAAACAGAGCTGGGGTTCAGCTGTAGTGCTGTCTTCTCCCCCCCGAGGACGACAGCTCTGTGGGCTTTTGGCACTTTCACCCTGAAGCGGACCCAGCTCTGCTCCTGGAGGAGCCCCGTGCGTGGCTCTAGCAGCACGCATCCTCTCCTCCACAGGCTGTAGACCTTGGGGAAAGGAGGCCAGCACAGCTCTGAGAAACAGCGCACGATGTAGTCGCAAATATGGACAAACTCCTTGCGGTCTTTGTTTCTCCCAAAAAGCCCCACTCTGTACACGCCCGGCTCAGGGAGCACGACGCACACGCTGACTTTAGACTTCAGGTGGGTGACCAGCACGTACCTCTCCAGGGGATACTCAGTGCTGCTGACTTTGTCTTTGCTCAAGCTGGCGGTCACCTCGACGTCGGCCCGTGCGTGGAAGGTGATGTTGCACTTGCCCAGCTTGGTGGTGATGATGGGGTCGGAGTGGCTGGGGTTGGAGAGGCCGCAGCCACTGGAGCTGATCCCGCTCCCACAATGCATGCTCAACCCCAAGGGGAAGAGCTCGTTCTGGTTGATGGGTCCTAAGCAACGAATAAGGAAATTGGCTGTGTTCCTGAAGGAGGTGCCTCCTAAATCTTTCACAAACACGGAGAGACGGTAGTAACCCTGGAATGGACAGAGGACGTGGCAACTCAGTTTCTTGTCCTCAGTTCGAGCGGCCAGACATTTCTTACTCAGAGTGGAATCTAAGTCTTTATTCACCAGCTCATAGCTGGCAAGCAAGGGTCGGGACGTCCGGAGAGTCAAGAGCAAAGTCCCCTGTGGAGCAACAAGCAGCTCCCCTTTGTAGCTGCTTTCCTCAATGCCAAAATCTCTCACCTTTTGGTGAAGGCCCCAGAAATGAAAAGGGTTTTCAGGCAGTGCCTCCGCAGTGTGTGGCTCCAGGCACAGGATCTGATAGGAGCACACCCAGTTGTAAGGGTCTAGAGAGTCAGCATGACGTGCAAAGATCATGAGGTCATACAGACCCTTGGTTGGGGGAATCACCTTGATAGTCACACTGTTCTCAGACACTGTCATCATCCCATGAGCAGTGCCTACATCCTCTGTGGTCATAGTGCCCTGGAGTTTGGAGAGCTGGTAGGTGAACTCTGTTGGATGAGTGCTCCCCAACATCACTGATGCCTCTCCATGGGCTGTAGGAGGATAAACAAAACACCTTTAACACCTTTAATCCTTCATCAGCAGTGTAGTACATTCTCTCATGAGACATTATCTCAGACCCAGGGGTCTTTGGGGGTATGGACCAAAACTATCTGTGCAGGAGGCTGAGACCTGTTTCTCCCTCTCATTTTAACCCTAACTGCTAAAGGACACCAGTGAGATCCTTCCTTGCCTCCTACCATTTTTCTATCATTGTTGCAAGAGAAATGTTGATAATATTAGGCCTGGAGAGAATAACAAAGAGTTACACTTTGAGTCCTGAGACACTCAGAACAAAGCCAGTGTCCCATACAGAGGCTATCGTTGCATTGCTTCTTGACCTGGTGTCATTCCTCTAAGCTGCAGGTTTTCTACTCTGGTGTCAATCCAACAAAGCAACTGGGAGGATCAGAATTTCCCAGCTTGATTGGTGGGAGATCCCATGATGCTGCCATGGGGTTGATTTTTTTTTTTTTTCTTTTTTTTTTTTTCCCTCATAATGATTATAATATCTTTCTAAAATTTGACCTCGCTGTAAATCACAAGCATCTACAAGCTTCTGGTTTGGAGTGAACTCTAACCAGGTAGAAGAGGAGAAGAGAAAGTCCAGGAGGGGTGTGTAGGTATTGCCTTCTGGTGCCTCTAGTGACAGGAGGAGGCTTTCAGCTGGTCTGAGCCTGTGCTCGTACCCAGAACTGAAGCATCTCCAAGAGAAGTCCCTATGGAGGAACAGAGTCACTGCTGTCACCACTCCATGTGTGCCACATCTTCGAATCGTAGACTATCCCAAGTTGGAAGAGTCCAGCAAGGATCACTGAATCCAACCACAGAAGACCACACAAGATTCAAACTCTTGTGTCTAAGAGCATTGTTCAAATGCTTCTTGAGCTCCAGCAGCTTGGTTTGCTGACCACTGCCCTGGGGAGCCTGTTCTATTCCAATTGCCCTCTACTGCTTGCTACAGGAAACCCTCCCCAGTGCCTCCCATCTTCTCCTGGGCAGACGGGCTGGTTAGTTGGTTGGTTTTGCAGGGACAGGGCAAAGTTTCACAAGCCTCAAAGAATATGGGGCCATCTAACCAGCAGGCTGCTTTCAGCACGTGGTGAGCTGCATCATCCCATGTACTGGGATGTACCAGGGGCTGCATGGCCATAAAACCCTACTTTCATGGTATTTTGTACTCTGTTGCTCTAGGTATAGGGTAGACGATGAGAAAAACCACCATAGAGGACAAGACATTGAGTTCTTCTGCCCCTGGAGCATCTCAGAGTGCTTCCCAGACACTGGCATACCGCGATGCGTTCTCCAACCCACCATCCTCAAGGTCTGTAGAAATCAAGCCTGCTCCTCATTACCCCGTGCCCCTGAGCGCCCAGGGGGGGCTCATCTCATGTCCCGAGTGTGGCTGCTCCACGTCGTCCCGTCCTCACCACAACATTTTTGCTGGAGAGAGGCGAACGGTACGGAGCGATGGCACTGCGGGAGCCCGGGGCTGGAATCGGCACCCGCGCTGTGCGCGATGTTCATTTGTTTGGGGTGCTAACACAACATGACAAAAGCCTCCTTTTTCATGCTGAAAAAATCGTCCCTTGCTAATTACTGGATTGCGAAACATGTTTCATAATCTAATGAATAATGGGGCGACTGTTTTTTGTTGTTGTTGTTGTTTTTTTCTTCCCCCCCCCCCCCCCCCTGTTTGTATCTGGATTTTTTCATTGTTTGCCCCACAGATCTTTCTTGGTAGGTTGAAACAGAGACGTGAAAAGAATGGGAAGGCTGGGTTTTATTTGTGCCTTGCCTGTTGAAGCTGTGACTTGGCTCACACAGTAAGTGCAAACAATTCTCTCCTGGCAAGTGTTCAGTGGAGACATTACTGATGACAGACTTTATTAACTGCAGGTTTTCTTGTTATTAAATTCCCTCTATGCTAGTTTCCGAAGCTGCTGGCCTGGCCGGCTGCATCATATTAGGATCTTTAGGAAGAAAGAAAAGAACAGAACATTGTATGCAGCGGAGCCAGCGATGATGAGATAGGGAAGCCAGCAATGTGCTTTGCTTTGGGAAGGGGACCCGAGGAGATAATTAATGGCTACGTTTAAAACAAACATTAGTTTGTTTTATTGGGTTAATTCAAGCCATCAGCTAAAGATTTCTGGTTTTCAGGGAGGCCAGGTGAAGCTGGAGGTGGGTTCCCATGTCAGCACCAGCAGCATTGCAGGAGGCCAATGTATGTTGCATTAATTGTTTTGGGGGAAAAAAAGAAGTACAGGCGTGTTTCTAATTTCTCCAAGTTCTGTCTAAAAGTCTTCCCTGCCCCCTCCCACTTTAGTTATTTGTATCTACAGCTTGCCACTGACAACTGCCTTTCTGTATGCAAGTTTTACAAAGCTCTAATTCCGTAGGACCAAATGCCATCCAGGTCTGCAGTCTAGGATGAGAGGTGATGGCCTTAAGTTGTGCCATGGTTGGGTATTAGGAAAAAAATCTCTTCTCCAAAGGAGTGGATTGGCAGAGCTGCCCAGGGAGTGGTGGAGTCACTGTCCCTGGAGGTGTTCCAGCACCGTGGAGATGTGGTACTGAGGTCAGTGGGCATGGTGGGATGGGTTGGGGTTGTACTTGGGGATCTTAGTTGTCTTTTCTGACCTTAATGGTTCTATAGTTTTACCAACTCTAAACGTTCAAATCACGTTACCAATTAAAGGGGCTGAGTTTACAGAGTCTGATATTTCCTGAAAATCAGGTCCTGTTGCAAGGTGTTCCCATTCCAGACCCCATCAGATAGTGGTTTGTGGGAGGAACCCTGGCTGAAAGCTTTTCAGCATTTTACAGAGATGGGAGCTGTTCAAATGTCATAAAGCAGGAATTGATCCACAGTAGCTGAAAAGGGAAAATAGGTTTTACACCAAAGATCTTGAGCATTCTTGTGCTCAGATTGTCTTGAATGTTTAAGATGCTGGTTTCCTGCTATTGACCTTGATCAATGTAATCTTAATTTTGCATCAACAAAAGCAAACCTCTGCCTTGATTTGCAATCTGGGTTTGTAATTTGGTGTTTTAAGCAGACTTCTGATATGGCTCTGGATGTTGAGGCTAATGGCAGTGGTTAAACTGTTCAAGTTAGGCTTTAAGCCCAGGAAAGCTCTTCCCTCCACAAGATGAAAAAATCACTGGGGGAAAAAAAGGGTCGGCAGTTTTTTAACGTTCTAATGGGAAAATCTCATTTCATCTCAGTTTTAGAGGAAAAAAGGACAACTGCCCATAGCCCAGGTTGGCCAGTGAGTTCTATGGCTGTGGGACAGGATTTCCAAGGGGTGTAGAGCAGTGGTGCACTGGAATGTGCTTTACTTTGTACCCTTAAATATTCTTCCCAGGAAATTTTAGTTCATGGCATCTAGTGGGTCATCAAGGGCCAAAGCCCTCAGCTGCTGCTAGACTCCATTCCTATGTCTTTTGGCTATGAAGAACTGAAGAAAGGGACGAGGGAGAATAACAAAACACTTATTTTTCCTCATTCTTCCCCTTGGGCTTTTCTACCACAGTTAATGATATTTTGTGAGAGTCCATGTTCTGCAATTTATCACTTTGTCATGCAGATCAAGGGGCTGGTTGGGCTGTTGATCTCGATCTCCTGTTTTTCCTCTGAGGCTACAACCTTTGTGTTACTTGGTTGTGTGCCTTTGAGCTCCCTCGTGGCTGGGACCTGAAAGGGGTTCTTCAGCCTCCCCATCCTTCCATTTAGATTCATAGGGTCACCAACGCTGGAAAAGACTTCCAGATCATCCAGTCTAATCATCCACCTACCCAGCATTTTCCACTAAAGCACGTAAGCACGTCCCTCAGTACAACAACTAAATCTTTCTTGAACACCTCCAGGGTCAGGGACTCCACCGACCACCTCCCTGAGCAGCCCATTCCAGCACCTGTTCACTCTTTGAGAGAAGTTTTCCCTAACATCCAACCTGAACCTCCTCTGGTGCAACTTGAGGCCATTTCCTCTAGTCCTATTGCTAGTTACATAGGAGCGGAGGTTGACCCCCTCCTTGCCAAAACCTCCCTCCAGGTAGTTGTAGGCAGCCATGAGGTCTCCCCTGACCTCCTCTGCTCCAGACTAAATAATCCCAGTTCCTTCAGCCGTTCCCCATAGGACTTGTTCTGCAGACCCCTCACGGCTTTGTTGCCTCTCTCTGAACATGCTCCAGGGCCTCAATGTCATTCCCGTAGTGAGGGTCCCAACATTGAACACAGTACTCGAGGTGTAGCCTCACCAGTGCTGAGTACAGAGGGATGATTACTTCCCTACTCTTGCTAGCAATGCTATTTCTGATACAATCCAGGATGCCATTGGCCTTCTTGGCTACTTGAGCACTCTCCTGGCTCATGTTCAGCCAAGCATTGGCTAACACCCCTGAATCATTTTCCTCCATGCAGCTTTCCAACCACCCTGCCCCAACCCCGCAGTGTTGTCTGTGGTTGTTGTAGGCAAAGTGCAAGACCTGGCACTTGGTCTTGTTGAATTTCATCCCACTGGCCTCAGCCCAGTGATCCAGCCTGTCCAGATCCTTCTGAAGGGCCCCCAGGCAGATTGGTACTACTTCCCAACTTGGTGTCATCTGCGGAGTTACTGAGGGTGCACTCAATGCCCTCATCCAGGTCATCACTAAAAATACTGAAGAGGACAGGCCCCAGTACCAACCCCTGGGGAACACTACTTGTGACTGATTGCCAGCTGGATTTGACTCCATTCACCACCACTCTCTGGGCCCAGCCATCCTCCTTACCACCTTTCACATAGACCAGAGTCACACTGGCAAGCCTACAATCATAGAATCACAGAATGGCCTGGGTTGAAAAGGACCACAATGCTCATCCAGTTTCAACCCCCCTGCTTTGTGCAGGGTCACCAACCAGCAGACCAGGTTGCCCAGAGCCACATCCAGCCTGGCCTTGAATGCCTGCAGGGATGGGGCATTCACAGCCTCCTTGGGCAACCTGTTCCAATCCTCTGAGTCCTCGCCACTTGACCAGGAACGCTGATAGATGATAGAAAGTGGCTTTCCACACTGGGGCTGTATGGCCCTTGGTAGAAGACCAAGTCCCTTCCCTGGCATGCTCTGAGCTTCTGCAGTGGAGAGGCACCATAAGATCTCTTTGTAAAGGTATCACCAGCCTCTCAACTATTCCCAATTTAATTGGATTTGTGCAGCTTCTTGCTGCTCCAAAGGTAGCAACAGCCCATTTCAGCAATGTCCAGTGTCCTGGAAATATTGGAGGATTTTCTCTCCTGGGTAAGTAATAAATCCTCCTAGTCAAAATCCTCCTGGTGGGCCTTGCTGTACATTCATTTTCTGTAAGCCCGACTACAATCTGAGATAGCTTTACCTCCTGTCTGGCTCTGCTGATAAACTAAACTGCAGGAGAAATCTATATGCACATGAAACCATCTAGGGCAACAGACGTACAAAATGTGTCCAAAAAATACAAGTATCTATCACGATGCATCTGACCTGAAAAACTGTCAGAAAACTGCAATCAAGGAAAAACAACTCCACCTCCCTTTCAGAATGTGGGACGTGACTGTTTCAGGCCATGTTTTGTCTGGGAGCGTCCCTCCCCATCTGGTGAACACAATGAGGATTGTGTCTCAGGTATCTTGAAACTATTTTGCTACTGTTGGCCAATTTAGAGGGGAAAAGCCATGCACAAAAGGGTCTAAGTGATTTGGCTCCATTAGCTATGATTTATGAATCCTAATTCCCAGTTTACTAATCGCAGTATCACACAATGGCCATGACTCCAGAAATTGCTTAAATATGTTCCTCCGCTCTACTGGATGTTAAACCTGTGCTTAAAAATAGATCATAGAATGGCTTGGATTGGGAGAGACCCCAAAGATCAACACAACAGGTGGTCCATTCATGAATGAGAAACATCCTCAATTTGGGCTTCTTAAAAGCAAGCTAGGATTTATATTACTCAGATTTACCCCTTGCTCTGTATTTACCTGTTCTGAGGAGGGAAGTGTTCGGAGAAAGGAGACAGAGCTGAAGTCTGAAAAATTCTGAAGTTTTAAACACTCTCTGCTCAAAGTCCTCCCATGAGATGGGGGGCTGCAGGAGCTGCCACGCAGGGTCCTCCGGCCAGTGGGTCTCAATGAAGTGCTCAGGGTTGGTGAGGAAGAAGAAATCATCATGCCTGCAAGGGGAGCGAAGGGGATGTCATGGAGGGAGCAAGAAAACACTTTGCATCCAGGGCAGTGATAATGACGTACCTCTGTATGAGAAGTTCCCCCACACCATCAGAGTGGAACCGACATCAGTAAGGAAGGGCCAAGCTTTCGTTTAGACTTTCCAGATCAACTACGTTATAGTACTTAGTAGTCTTGCTTTCCACATACCCAGTCCTGTGACCTCTTCCAAGAGTTCACCCGCATTTTGTTTTGTTTTGAAGAAAAAGTGCATCACGAGTTGAATGTGCTCAACCTGACCTAGGTACCACCTCTGCTTAGGCATTTATTGAGTCAACCTTCACCCCTGTGTTGGGTTCATGGTGGGAAGCCTTGTTGCATCTGTTGATCTGATGGTTCTGAGAACACTGATATTCAGCCTGTCCAGCCAGAACCAGATCCCCTAAGGGATGGACCCACAAGAAGCCGTTATCTCTGCCTGTTGCCATAGGTGATGTTTTAGTCTGCTTCTGCTCAGTTAAAAGCAGCCCATACTCCCTGGTGTTATAAACTGTTCTCAGCAAGATAATTACCCACTAGAAATTCCACAATTATTTCATTATGCATTATTAGGGAGAAAAAAAGAATTAAAAATGTCAAGCCCATAATGTAGTTAATGGAAATTATTAAATTGTATAAATAACCTCTGTGAGAGTCATTATTTGCTTAGCATGGGCTAAGAAATCTCATGTGTGGAGCCACATCAGAGCAAAGTTTCTGTAAAAACAAGGATTTGTTACGTCAAAAGTGACACTGGCCACAAATAAGTTGGTGGGGAGTGGAGGTGGTTATCACCTGGAGAAGTTGCCATTACAGCTCAGGGAGTAAGGCATTGGATGTAGTAGGTGTTTATGTGTAGACTGTCTATTTTTGCACGGGGTTCTTGAGCAACCACTATGGTAAAACGTGGACCATCTTCAAGCAGTATCTGGGGATGCACTTGAAACGAGAGCTCAAGGCCTGGCAAATCTGGTAAGTAAGGGTCTACTAGAAGGTATGGGATGGCCATTTCTGAGGTCAGGTTGAGCCTTGCCCACTTGCGTTGAGAAACATGTCTCCAGAGGTGGTGGGATGAGGTTGTCTCACCTGGGCACAAACAACCTGTTCTCTGTGTCCACAGTGCCTGCACCCCAACAGGCATCCAGGAGCCACCACTGTCCTTCCAGCTGCACTGCGTTCCACATGTGGCTGCTCTTCTGTTGCTGGCACTGCCGACCTCCACGGGCACACGGGCCTCGGCTGAACCCCGGGATCTCCACGCTGCTCAGACCTGCCTCCCTGCCATGGAGAGAAAATAGGGGAGGTAACAGCACACCAAACACTGCTTGGTACTTGCTTTTTGGAAACCAGCCCAACTTCCGAGGTAAGTACAACCTCCCTAAAGCCAAGGCCCTGCTCCGCTTGTGCCAGATGTTGGCCAAATTCACTCTTCAACAACCCTCCCTTCTCGCTCCAAACCCTCATTCCTTGCATCTCTGATTGTGGTTGATTTGCCAAACTCATATCTCTGCTCCTCCATTCAAGCAGAAAAGAAGGGAGGCAACTGCAGTGCCCAAAGACACGGTGGGGAAATGGTTTCAGCATCTGCTGGAGTTCAAAAGTATCTGAACAGTGCTCTCAGATACATGGTCTGATTTTTGGGTGGTGCTGTGCAGAGCCAGGGGCTAGACACAGCGATCCTTACTGGTTCCTTCCAACTTGGGATGCTTTATAATTCTGTGCCAGTTGTGGGGTAGTGCCCATCCTATCTTAATGCTTCCCCCTCATATCTTCAAGGCAGCAGGAGGAGAAAGCCCAAGGCGAGTTTTACCTGCACATTTCCCAGCATAAATGAGCATATCCAGAACACACAGCTCTCCCCGTCTGCAGGACCTGCTCTGGCATGTGGATCTTCTGAGAGAGCCCCAGGAAGCCATCCACATCATATTCTAGGAAAGGGAGAATACTACCCAATTTCAGGCTAATGTAAGGATTTATTAGTTCCAAAATGAACCCATTCCTTCTCCTGCCCAACCCTGTTTCTCTGTCTACCCTCCCTGGAAGCCATGACAGCTCTTCTCCCAATCATTATTCAAGAGTTTGACAATTCCCCATATGAGCAAAGAATTGCTAAAGCCTTGGGGGAATTGGGTTCTCAGCGCATGTAAACAGTGGTTGCGCCATTCAAGTGAGGTACAGTGACAGTCATATTGTCTTGCACACATGGATGTAGTAGGGTAAAGTAGCACGAAGTGACTGCATTGTGCAGAGACCCCGCTGTCCCCAGATGACTGCAAGAGGCATAGCTCAGTTGCCTTGAATTTGCACCATGCACGCATTGGGAAAATGCCCTCCAATGCATTGAAGCTGAGAACTTTACTGGTGTCTCTTTGGATTTGGTGCTCACGTGGTGGCTTGTGCCTTAAAGCAGGTGTCACTTTCAGTATGGAGGCTCTCAGTTTGCAACCAGTCCCCATCCCAGGCACCTTCCCAAAGTTGAGAGGGGAATATTTGAATTTGTGGTTGCAAGAAGAACACTGTAGAATTTATTCTGCAGGACACGAAGAGCCAAAATCCAAGAGGTTGCATTCAAGGAAAGGGCTCTCAGCTCCACCACGTGACTGTGAAACACTGGGACCAGACTTACCAATGTTATGGCAAAGCCAGAACCATATGGCCCGCACCATCTCCAGTTTGCTCTGGGATTTGGCAGTGATCAGGGGAACGATGGCCTGGACCGACATCGTGGTGTGCCCCGATTTCAGCTGCAATGGAGAAGACAGGTGAGATAAAAGCACTCTTGGTGTCATAACTGCGTGGGTCAGTGGCTGCTGAATGATGGCCTTGCTGGAAGGAAAAGTACATCACAAAGACCACAAAGCTTCACTTCTCTCCCTCTAGAACTGGAAATCCAAAAATTTGGATTATGGTAGAACATTTCTCCATTTTCCTATGCTTGGTCTTAAGGACTGAAGTTGCTGTTTGGTGGAAATGAAGGTGGCATTTCCCATTTCTTTGCCCAGAAAGTCTTGTGGTAACTATTTCTCTAGGGGTGTAAATCTGCAACATTCTAGGGGAATCTGCATCTTCTGGGGGAAGTGGGTTTCCAACCCCCCACCAAATAACATCTCAGTGTGTTGTCCCTGGAGGTATTTAAGAACCATGGAGATGTGGCACTGAGGGACACGGTCAGTGGTCATGGTAGGGGTGGGTTGGGGTTGGGCTTGGGGATCTTAGAGGTCTTTTCCAACCTGTATGATTCTATGAGTCTATTTGTGCAGAACAGAAACATCTGTGTGGCTCAAATCCTCTTCTTGACACTCTGAAAGCAGTCAAACTCATGCCCCAAAATGGGTGGAAGGAATTGCTTCTACCACTACAATTTCACCTATTCCTTAATCCAAAGAAAGCTTTTCTGCCCCTTTCCTCCCATTCACTCATCCACATTCCTGGGCTCTTCCCTCTTTTGTGCTAGCACAAGTATTTTTAGCAGTAGATTTTTCTTCCACTGGGCTATATTTAGTCCAGCTTAATTCTACAACCTCCTGCTCCTGCTGTTCCATTCCTCAATGACTTTCCTGCCCTAACCAAAGCTGGAAATCTCTTTCTTTTTGCGTATGGGAAACGTTGCATTTGTAACAGCTGAATATTTTCCTTGTGATGCTGTGTTTAAAAATGAAGATGCGACTAGAGAGCAGTTATTTTAAAATGATGGTGCTCTTGCTGTTCGCTTGCATTTCCATTATCATGCTGTCATGATTGTGCAGCTGCTGGGCAAACAAGTAATGATAATTACTCCCAAGGAAGAAAAAAAATGTACTCATCCATTAGATACCTAGCTACCTGCTTCCCCATTGGCACATCTTGGTGCAAAATTCAGTCTGTGAAATTCTGTTTCAATCAGAAATGGCAAACTTAGGTCCTAGATGGAGAGTTACAACATCCCCATGTGATCCTGGTCCTGAATACTCCTAAGACTCCTGAAGAATGGGTCAGAGCGTCTCAGTTCATGAGAACTGCTGGCTCTGCAGATATTTGGAGCAGGCCCTGATGTGGGTTCATGGAAACAGTCTCCAGGCTATTCCTAGGTGTCCAGAAAAGGGGTCCAGCTCTGCACCTGTACTGCCCGGGGTCTTCCATCAAATCCCCCATGAATAGAGGCATGGGGAGAGGGGAAAATCCTACATTCCCAGGGCACCAACAGCAAAACAGCATCAGCCACCAGAGATGCAATACTCAGTGAGCTGCTCTGTTGCTGGTCTTGGCACTTGTAAATCCCATCTAGGGAAAAAAGGCCAGGTGCATCAGATTTTAATTCGGCAAGAGCCTTGGACAAACAGGGAAACAAACTGTTCCCATTGCCTTACAGGTATTTTCAGTTGTTTATTATCCTCTCTCTCCACTCTTCCAGATTCCTCCCCCTCTCTTTTCCTCTTAATACACTTGGTAGACTCTGAAACACAACAGCATCCTTCTTCCCAAGGGATATTAGCCTCGGGGTAGGTAGAAATTGCAGGTTTCAATTCTAACGAAGGGCACAATTATTCCTTGTACCTCTTCACTCTCACTAATGAGTTGACGTGTAAGCTGTGAGTTCACTGCCCAGACAAATTGTGCTGCCCCTGGGGGAGAAATTGCAGCAGCAGTGTGTGGTTCAAGTAACAGGAATTAGGAGTTTGATGCTCTCCTTCTGGGCTCCCAAGCACCCAGAAAGGGGGAATATCATATAGCAGGGCACAGACTGAGATAAGGACACAACTGAAGCCTTCTGCTTAAGAAAAATAAGACTCAGGCTGCCACATATATGAAGAGATTGCTGGATACAGCTCGACTGTGGCTGCTGGCTGTGTGTGTTTTTCTGTGCATTCTGGTCACTGGCTCCTATCTAGCTAAACACAGCCTGTCCTGCCTTGGGGTATCCCGTGGCCCCTTTCTCTCCCCATTGAGCCCTTCAGAAGGGTCTCCAGGTAGAACCCTAATACAATCCTGCTTGGTGTCCTGGCACAGAGACCTTTGGCCATAGTAACTTCACCTCCCAGGTTCTTGAGGTCACTGGGCACCATCTTGTCATCAGAACATAGGCTGAAAGTTGAATATTAGGACGTGGATCTGCTGAGAGACTGCAGGACCTACCTGCTGGCTCACATGGAGGACGTGAGTGTCTATATGGCTGAAAACATTTGTGTCAGTGAAGAGATCTTTTCTGGTCTTTCTTTGGGGTTTTTCAGTCTGATTCTCTTTTAAGCTGAGTCCTTCCTGGGGAAGGAGAGCTGGAGAGGAGGTTCCTGCAGTTGTAGATGATTTCTGCAGTAGCTTTGGGAAGGTGCTGCTCCCTTTGCTGCTGTTGCTAACTTTATTGGCCCAAAACAAGAAAACATCCTTGGACGGGGAATCCTTGGGCTCATTTCTCACTTTTTGCACAACTGAGGCTTTCTTTAATACCCCATCCTTGTTCCTGTTTGCATTGCTGTCCTGGTGTGGGATTTTCTCTGAGCTATTGAGGTTGATCTCTTCAGAAACATGTCCCAGGCTAAAGCTGCCATTACAGACATCCAACATCTGAGCTCCCCTCTGACCAGGCAAGAGGTCATCTGCCTGGGATGGCATCGTGTTTTCTTCATGGTTCTTAGGATGGGCCCATTCTGATGTAATTTGTGTGGGCTGTTTTTCATGGTGGTCCCCATTCCTGGAGTGCGGGGAGAGAATCAGCTCTCTGGGTTTGATGGTGTGGGTTTTGGATGGCTTAGATCCATCATGGCTGGTCTTCATTCGTGCAGTGGGCAAGGGAGGAAGAAATCACAAAGTCTGTGGATGGAAAAGCAGATGAGTTTTTTTTTACAAAAGAAGCCTACCAATCAGTATGGTTGGTTGTTTATAGTGAATGGGGATCTGATCAATGGGAGTTAACCAAAAGTAGAATCATAAAATTGATGGAATTGGAAGGGACATTTAAAGCCCAGCTCAGACCAATCACAGAGCATTTCTCCTTGCCCCCAGAGGCAGGAATCAAGGAGAGCAAGGAGTTAATGTAATTAGTGTTTCGGTGCTCCAAAGAAGTTCATCTTTCAGCAAATCTTTCCTTTTCCCCAACCTCCCACCCAATGTGTTTTTTATTAGCTGGGATTTGCTTCTGCCATTCAGGGCCTGCAGAAATACTGTCACCCTTTACTTCATCGCTTTGCACTTGAAATGCAGCTGAGACGAGTGAGAAGCCTGCAGGAGAAAACAGGTGACAAAGTGGGAGGTGGAATTCAGGACTGATGGGGTTATTGGGTTAAAGCTGTGGGCTGAGCCAGCTCTCACGTGCCCTCAATATTTGCACAGCGCTCTCTGGTTTTATCTTGGTTTAGCTCCCATTCGCTGTTGTTGTTTTTAATCATGAAATGACTATTTGTGCCATGCAAATAGCAGAGCCTGCTGTGAGCCACTTAGTGTCGTCCAGAACTGTCACTCTTCACATCCAGCCTCTCCCACGCCGGCTTTTCAACATCTGTGCCAGGCGCTGGCCTCGCTCTTCCAGGAAAGCGAGATGTCACTCATCCCTGATTTTCCTCTCTCTGCTTTGGATGAGGCTTGTGAGTGTAGGACAGCCTCATCCAGATGGGGTAATACTCCATGCTCACCAATTACAGGCTGCTGAGTGGGGTCACCGTCCCTGGAGATGCTCCAGAACTGTGGAGATGTGGCATTGAGGGTCAGTGGGCAGGGAGAGATGGGTTGGGGTTGGACGTGGTGATCTCAGAAATCTTCTCCAACCTTAATGATTCTATGAGTCTGTCCTCCATGCCCTGTGCATGAGATATTTGTCTTTGCAGGGCTGCTGTGGGGTTTCTGTACTGCCTGTTGGGGTTGTACATTCCCTATTTACTCCCAGTCCACAGAGACAAACTGTTAGTGCCCAGCTGTTGACACTTTCGAGTTGTCCTTGTGCATGCGCAGGCACCCACTGTCACAGGCACAAAGGCATTTCAGCTGCCACTTTTTAAGTGAGCAACAAGAGGCCACTTCTGAGCCCTTCGTGGCCATTACCTGACATGAACCAGCACTGACCAACTCAAGAAATAAATCCCAGCAGGTCCTGGGAGCTACAGCCTTTTCAATTTGCTTTGGCAGGGCTTGGAGACCGGTTGGTTTGCTAAGCCCAGTTTTTTGCCCCAACCCTTCTTTCTCACTCTAGGCACACCTCCCTGTGATGCCTTCATGTTTGGGATGGGAACCAAGAGGGGCTGCAGTGCACGACCACTTAGAAATAGTGGAATAGCCCATAGGACTGAAGATGGACCTACCCACGTGCTCAGTCTTATTTTAAAATATCAGAGATCTTTCACTGGGGATGAAAACAAGCATTTTATTTCAATCCTATGCCCTCATACATTTAGGGCTTTAAAAGAAATTTAAGGGAAAGCATCACGTTGACATCTCTGAAGTTTTCTCTCCCCTTGCCTTAAACTGGATCCTTCAGACACAGCCCACCTCAGAAATCCCTAAATCATTGCTTACTGGAATCTGGAGAAGGGAAGAATAGAGGGGTGCTGCTTTCTTACTTTTTCCCCCAAATTCCATCCAGCATTACCCCAGTGATGCCACCTCATTAATCCATGAAAAGCCAGCTTTAGAGGTGCTGTTTCATTCCCGAGTTGCTGCTGCAGGGGGCAATGAGAGCAATCTTCTCTGATTTGAATGGGAAAAGAACTCTGGGGACGGTTGTGCTATCAGCAGGCTCTCAACTTTGTTCCTGGACTGCCCTGACCATGAGTGTGACTCTAAAGCATTGCGTTATCACTGGCTGCTCTGTGCAGTTTCGATGTCAGGAGGATGGAAATTTGCAACTGTGGCAGCCTAAAGATATCAAGGGTCAAATAGAAAATCTCCACAATAGGAGCAATGAGAGGCTGCCCAACATCTCTGCAGCATTCTCCTACAGGAACTGGGCTGGCAGGGCATGCAGAGGGGATGGAGAATGCCATAGGTTGGGGGGAGATGATGGTGGTCAGGGGACGGGAAGAATCAGAAGGACCAGAAGAGAAAAGCAATGCCAGACTCCATTCCCATCAGGTGAGGACATGGCACGTGAGGAAATGGATGGAGGAAAGAGAACTTGTGCAGGAGAGTGACAAAAAAAGATGGGAAATAACCCAAATGGGGCTGATTCTACTCACCCTGTTCACGAACTGGCCACAGCTCCCCACTTCTTGCAGAAGGCAGGCAGCTCCCAGCAGCCCCATCCCTTATATACATGTGCCAGCGCAGGGATGGCTCTGTTTTTTGCACCCTGCTCATGTCAGGAAGGCTAAAAATACTATAAAGAGCCTGCAAGCAAGCTAAGGTTGCTGCCTCCAGCCAAAGCCTGGCACTTCTGCAATGTATGGGCTGGAGTGTATTTACAGGGAGATAGAGAGGGAATAGACTTTCTCTTATCAACATCCAAGCTTTGGCAGGGCAGCGGGGACTGACTGCCTGCCAGCTCTTGCAGCTGCCCATAGGTTTGGGTGTTGCTGCAGCCTTGCTCCTAATCTGGGCACCTTTTGCTTCTCTGTAGGTTTTTTTCCATAACTTGGTACCTTGGGAAATCTTCAGTGCACATCAGGAACAGGAACAGCATCTCATGGAGATGAGCAGTAATTTGCAGCGTGGATGTTGGAATATTGCTCTTGGTTATTATCTAGCTATGTTCCACTAAGTGGCATCGTATCCCTTGTTTCTGTCTCTCTCATTTCAGCTCCGTCTCCTGATATTGAAACTTTTCTTGATCAAGCAGGAAACAATAAGGGGGGAAATAGAATTGCCAGCTGAATGGGTGCCTATTCTTGGAACAAAAATTCCCAGTATTTGGCTGAAAGAGGGGAGGAAAAAAAAAAAGAGAGAGAGAGAAAAAGATTTCTTTTGGAAAAGAGGGGAGATTTTGTGTAAACTGTGCTGAGATCTCAGTTCCCAAGCTCATCCCCTTTGCCTGGGGTGCAGAACCCACAGCCTCCTCATGCATCTGTCTCCCCCTGCTCTCCTACTTGGTGTGGGGTTGGTGTCATTTAGGAGGTGGCCAACCCCACACCCAGCAGCTGGAGAGCACACAACGTTTCATATGTATGCCAGGATTGAGACCATCCTAATTTGTAGAAAATTTTCAAATTTTCACAGGGATTTTCACAGGGAGCAGAACTTGGCCCAGGAAGCTGCAGGAGACAGTGGTGGAGCTTTGGGATAAGAGTCTGCAATGCCACAGCATAAAGATGTTTCCAGTTGCTTATGGCCATTAATTGGGTCTGCTTTGCAACGTGACTCTCCACCCATCTCTATCCAATCCAGAGGTTACTGATGGTGCTGCAGAAGTATCCAGAAGGCAAAGGATGATAATAAATGTGGCTGTGGGACTCTTGCTAGATGAGACAGGAGTGGGCACTTAGTGTTACCTTAGATAACAATGGCCAGTCATTTATTGCCTATTTCCAAAAGTGAATGGAAAGAGAATTGAGATTTAGAAAGAGTTGACCTATCAAGGCAAGGACCTAAAAATACTCTTGCAGAGTTGTTCTGCATGTGAAATAAAGGCAAATTTGCATCAGCCAAGCCCAGATGAGAGGCAGTGGCTATAACCCTGTGTGGGTACAAGGGCTGTGTGGGTGGACAGGAGCATGGATTATAAACACCATGTGGAAGGAGTGCAAGCACCAGATGTTCAAGAAGAAATGTCCATTCCAAGTAAGGCTGTTTCTGATTAGATCTTCACAAAGAGCAGAAGAACAGATATCTATGTGGAGGTGTAGCTATAGAGGTCTCTTCATGGGCTGGGCCAAGGCAAATTTATCTATGCTGTCCTCACCATGGCTGTGTTGCATGGTTAGAGGGCTGACAAATAGTCCTGTTGGGTTGGGTGTAGCCCTTGGTCACATGCATCCCTGGAAAATGGCATCACTATTGGAGAACAAGGAGAAATTTCTGGTAGAAAAGCACCCACCTTTCTCTAAATGGTGCTCACCTCACCACAAGCAATGTGGGATCAGCAGGATGGCAGCCCAGCACCATGCATTCACAAAAGCTGGCCAAGGCATGGGATCGTGGCAGCCCTTCTGCAGCCTTCTCCTGCAGAGCGTGGTTGAGAAGTCGTTTTCATTGTAATTTTTATTTTATTTGTGAAGGCTTCCAGACTCAGGGAGTCTCTTGGCTGGAAAGCTGGGAGCTGGTTTGGAAGTTATTTTTTTTATTATTTTTTATTTTATAAAGCACTCAGCAGGAATCCAGAATTTAAGAGACGCAGAAGAATTGCTCACTCTTCAGATGTTGGCAGCGAGCCTCTTTTCCAGTTTATTTCCCTGGAAAGAGAGGATGAATACATGGAAATAAAGCAGAGGCTGTATTTTAAAATTCTCCAGGCCAGCACCTTCAAGTGATGCAGGTCTGTGCTGGCTTCCTTATGTGGCAAACCCAGCACAGAGCAGGCAGGAAAATCCACAAGTGCTTTGGAAACCAGCATGATGGGGTGTGTTTGAAGGACAACACAGTGTCATAGAATCATTACAACTGGAAAAGAGCTCCAAGATCCCCAATCCATCCCACCATGCCCACTGACCACATCCCTCAGTGCCACATCTCCACAGTTCTGGAGCACCTCCATGGATGGGGACCCCACCACTGGAATGACCATTAAGAACACGGGATTTAAGCATGCATGGTTGAGTTTGCCCATGTGCAGCACAAAGCTGGAGCTGCTGTGGTGCAAAGGTACTTTTTAAGGAACAACAGAGGAAATAATCAGACAGATCTGTCACCGAATTGTTTCATCTTATGCATCGCTGTCTTTGAGCTTTTTCAAGTGTTTTCTTTTTAATGAGCGGTGATTTTTTTCACAGGCTGAGGAAGAACACAAAGCTTTTGACAGTTCCTTACGCCATAATGTCCTTCTCTTTTGCTATCCTTTCAGGTGAACACTTGAACCAGAAATGAGTCAAAGGCACAAAATCTCCTACAGAGACTGGGCACCGTTCTGCTTCATGAGTTCCCAGACCTGGCACCTCACAACAGCAAAGATGTGTTTGAGGTGACCCTAAGAGCCGCCGCATCCTGGCACCAATCTGCCACTAAATCCTTTGAAGCTCAGAGAAATATTTAACTGACATCACTGAGTTGGGTCTGGTATTGTTGTGCTGGAAATGCCAGGTTTCTGCAAAGCAAAGGAACAGTGTAAGCTGTCTTTTTGTGTTGGAGTGGAGTGGGGAAACGCAGCCAAGGATTAGAGTGTACACTGTCTTGGTTGCATTTCCACACTTGGCTACCTGCTGCATATCTTCCACAGGGGGCTGGTGGAGTCACCATCCCTGGAGCTTCAAGAACTGTGCAGATGCAGCACTGCGGGATGTGGTCAGTGAGCATGGTGGGATGGGTTGGACTTGGAGTTGGGGATCTTAGACCTCTTTTCCAACCTCATTGATTCCATGATCTTACCACACAGAGCTCACTGTGGCCCCTTGTAGTGTTTCCTGGAAGTCTGGGAATATAGCAGTAAGATCGTTTTGGATGTTGGTTATCTATCTTGGGATGTAGAAAGTCACCACAGAACTGTAGAATAATCCTGACTATGAAGGGACCCACAGGCACTGAATCCAACCCCTGCCTAACCACAGGTCAGCTGATGCACAGGGAGATGCTAAGGTTGCCTGCAGGTCTACCGGAAACAAACCATACTTCTACATGCCGATCTGTCAGAAGAGGCCACATAATTCCCCAAGGTGTGTACTAGCAAATAAGCATCCCAGCTGCACAAGCAGTGCTCACCATGTCATGTCTTCTAGTCCTCCACTGCTTCTTGACTACTTTTCACCTGTTGTAGTCGTGTCTGAGATAGAGTGAGCAGCGCAGGCTGTTGTAAGAAGTGCAATTCCAGAAATACGTTGCTTTTGTTTATTTTCACTCATCCCTGCTTTGCAAGGATGGAGTGTGTGGGGAGAACAAATGATCTGTCATTACAGATTTAAATAGAAGAAAAAAAAAAAAAAAGGTATTTGAATATATGATCTTGCTTGAAAATGAGAAAACATGGATTTTGAGCTCAGAGATGGCTTTGCAAGGAAAATGCCTGGATGCCAGACCCTGGCAGGAGGAAGCTCTGAGATGAGTTCCCACTCCACCTCCAGGAGTTTCAAGGTGCAGTTCACCTTCTGCAGGAGTTTGCACGTTGGTGTGGCAATTGGTTTGACTTTGTTTGCTTTGTGGCCTGGTGGTCCCAAAATAACAGAGAAGGGACCACGGATGCCATCTATTGGAGACGTGTAGGAAGGGAGAAGGCAGGCTTATCTTCGTTTGTGTGGGTGGTATGCTACTGCAAACAGACTGGTTGTTGCACCTCAGAAATGTACTACCATCTTGAGTGGGTAGGTGATAAAAGTGCCTTGTCTCTACCCCACAGCAATAAGGCAAAGGGTACAGCCTGCAGTATGGGATGTTCAGTGTAAACACTGTCTAGTCAAAACCTCATGGGAAGTGGGGCAATAAAACAGGACAATTTCTTGACAGTGAGTGGTTTGCTGATGTCTGGGCAAAGGGTGAAGACCATGGTGGTTGAACTCATATATCAGTTTTGGAGCTGTGAAAACAGAGATTTGCTTCTCTCCTGGTTTGGGGGACCAGGGGCAGCACATACAAATCAAAGAATCATGGAATCATACAGAATGGCTTGGGTTGGAAGGGACATCAAAGATCACGGGCAGGGCTGCCAATCACTAAATCAGGCACCAGCTCAGGCTGCCTAGGTCCCCATCCATGGCCTTGGGCACCTCCAGGAACGGGGCACCCACAACACCTCTGGGCAGCAGTGCTGGAGCCTCACCACCCCCTTTGCTGCTGGACTGAGATTCAGGACTGAGATGCATCCACGATAATGTTCTCTTGTTGGCAATGCTGTGATCATAGCTCTTATTCTTCATGAATTTCCACAGACACACTGCAGGATCCCTGGAGAACATGAAAATTAACAGCAGTGCCTGTGTGCTGCAGTTACCACTGGGCAAAACGCAGAAATTCCTTCTTGCTGAAAAGTCCAATTCTGTGGAAAACAGTGATTCAGAATTACAGACTTTTTAAAAAAATAGGAATCCTGGGGAAAAAAAAAAACCAAAAAAGTTCAGAATTTATGCTTCTTGGCTCCTTTAAAGCTGTCTAAGATTCTCTAAGAGAGATCAGCTTCTCCCTTTCTTTTAATTTGCACTCGCTGCTACTCTAATTAGCATTGAGTGAAACAGCTTCCTTTACCATCTAATCCAATGTGTCAAACAATTCCCTTCCAGCAGTGAGACGCAC